CTTGAGCCACCGCGCCCGGCCCAGCTTTGTAATTTTTTTGTTGAAGGCTGGATAGCTTATGGACTAAGTCAAATAGTTTTTCTGCCTGGAAATGGGCACATTTTTCCTTCTGCTAGGCCTTTAATGTGGGAGATTGCAGTTAATATAGTCCAGAGATGGGCTGACCTTGAGGTTTGTTGTTTCTGTGGTTATCGTCAGTGCACCACAGGCTTCAAATTCCCTTAGCAATACCTTATTTTTCCCTTAGCAATACCTTATTTTTAGAGTAGGAGCTGGTTTGCCAGAGGGATTTTGTGTCTTTAGGTCTTCCCTTTGCATAACACTTTAAAAGGGTCTGTCTTCAGCAGTATTCCATTTGTTACTTATTACAGAAGAGTTGGAGGGGCAACAGTGTTTTCTATTGTTCTGATGAAGTCTCAGTCTTAGACAGGCACAGTGGCTAATGCCTATAATCCCCAGGACTTTGGGAGGCCCAGGCACGAGGATCAGTTGAGGCCAGGAGCTTGAGACCAGCCTGGGCAACATAGTGAGACCTTGTCTCATATAAAAATTTTTAAAAATCAACCAGGCGTGGTAGTATGTGCCTGTAGTCCCAGCTACTTGAGAGGCTGAGGTGGGAGGATCGCTTGAGCCCAGGAGTTTGAGGCTGTAGTGAACTATAACACCACTGCAGTCCAGCCTAAGCCACTCCAGCCTAAACCACAAAGCAAGATCCTGTTTCTAAATTAAAAAAAAGAAATGGCCGGGCATGGTGGCTCACACCTGTAACCCCAGCACTTTGGGAGGCTGAGGTGGGTGGATCACCTGAGGTCAGGAGTTCGAGGCCAGCATGGTGAAACCCCATCTCTACTAAAAATACAAAAATTAGCCAGACGTGGTGGCGTACACCTGTAATCCCAGCTACTTGGGAGGCTGAGACAGGAGAATCACTTGAATCTGGGAGGCAGAGGTTGCAGTGAGCCAAGGTCGCACCATTGCACTCCAGCCTGGGCAACAAGAGTGAAACTCTGTGAAAAAAATAAATAAATAAAGTAAAAAATAAATAAATTCAGTCTTAGGCTTCATTATGTCCTTTGATCTGGTGCATTTGGTCTTTAGTGCTCCTGCCTACCCCTAGATGTAGTCCTAGGCACAAAACGCAGTTCTGCCCTTCCCTAAGATGCAGTGGCTTTCACCAGTGCCCCAAAGACAATAGTTGGCCCTGATCCACACAGATTAAAGCATATATTCCCTAGAGGAGACAGGCAAAGTTTAGCACCTTCCCATAGTGACTGCTGTTCCCCTTCCTGAGTCCTGTATCATGAAGGTTTTTTTCTCAAGACTCTCACCAGTCTTTTTTGTGTGTACATGTTGGAGTACCTGAAGAAAAGTGTGCAAGAGTTTATGAACTTAGGCTCTAAGTCTGCTGCCTCCTGAGCCTCCACACTGTCTAGCCAGCCAATACTTAGCTTCCACCAGTTTGATATTTATTCTAGCTGTATCATTCTTAGCTTGTGGCTGCATCTGCTCTGCCCCAGGTGAGAAAGTGCTTAAATCCCATTGCATCTCTCCTGGGAGGCTCTGGGGTTGAACTTAGAGTTTGGCTGGCTTTTTTTCTTTTCCTTTTTTTTTTTTTTTTTTTTTGAGATGGAGTGGAATGATCTCGGCTCGCTGCAACTTCCGCCTCCCAGGTTCAAGCAATTCTTCTGCCTCAGCCTCCTGAGTAACTGGGACTACAGGCGCCCACCACCACGTCTGACTAATTTTTTTTTTTTTTTTTTTTTTTTTTGTATTTTTAGTAGAGACAGGGTTTCACCGTGTTAGCCAGGATGGTTTCGATCTCCTGACCTTGTGATCTGCCTGCCTCAGCCTCCCAAAGTGCTGGGATTACAGGTGTGAGCCACTGTGCCCGGCCCACTTTCTTAAAGTAAATTTACTTTTTTCTTGTGTGATAGTTTAGCTCAGTATACTACTATAGGGTGAAGTTTCTTTTTTAAGCATTATGAATTTTTGCTGTTGAAATATCTGCTAGACATTTCATTACCCTTCCTTTATAGGTCTCAGTTTTTCCCTTGATTTGCCTCTTTAGCATTCTAAGTTTTGTTACAGTGTATCTTGGTAGGGATTTATTTGTTTTTATCCTGGTTGGAACTAATCGTGTTTCCTAAAGTGTAGATTTATATCTTTTGTTTCTTAAATTGTAAAAAATTCTCAGCTATTACCATCTCTTAAACCATCGTATCTCACCTTTTTTTTACTATTTATCCTGCAACCCCTATTAGGTTTGGACCTATTTTGGACCTTATTCTCTTTTCTGTGTCTAATGACCTCTTCTGGGACACTAATTATTTTTTCAGTACAGCTAATCTCCAGTCTAACCCATTCATTGAATTCAGTGGCTGTATTTATAGAAATTTTCTTTGGTTATTTTTCTGATTTGCTTAATGTTTTTTTGATAGTGACTTGTTCTTTGCTTATGTTTTGGCATCTTCCTTTTATGTCATTAATATTGTAATTTTAAACATAACCTATGTTATATAAAGTCCTATAATTTTTTATCTTTAGAGTTCTTAAAATATTTTTTTTTCTGCTGTCTCTCACTCATGGTCAATAATTGGGTTTCATGTGTATTATTTATCAACCACAATGTGGAATTATGGTCTTGTGTTCAAGGATGCAGGGAGGGGTTTTATCTGTGGAAATTTATTTGCAGCTTATGTCAAAGATGTGTCCCTCTGAAGTGTAGTTATTTGTTTTGATGGTAGCAGGTAAGACAGTAAAAAGAGGCTGTGATACATTTTGAATACAGTGCTAAGAAGTTTACTTAATTTTGTAGACAGACTTATTTGTTGATTCAAAATGAGAAAGAGGCCAGGTGCAGTGACTCCTGCTGTGATTGCAGGATTTTGGGAGACCAAGATGGGAGGATCACTTGAGTTCAGGAGTTCAAGGCTGGCCTGAGCAACATAGCAAGACCTCATCTCTACTAAAAATTAAAAAAATTATCTGGGCGTGGCAGCACATGCCTGTGGTCCCAGCTATTCAGGAGGCCGAGGTGGGAGGATAGCTTGAGCCTGGAAGATTGAAGCTACAAGTGAGCTATGATTGTGCCTCTGTTCTCTAGCCTGGGCAACACAGCAAGCTCCTGTGAGATGATATCTTAAAAAAAAAAAAAAAAAAGAATGAGAAAGACTACAGTATGTGTTACAGGAAGATAAGTAAAAGTAAAGATAAAGAAAGTTTTAAGTGGTTGAACATTTTGGAGTTTACATCTGTTAGATGACCTACATTTTTTCATTAAAACTAGAGGCAGGGTCTTTTTCATAGGGTGAGGTAAAGTAGGTATAATAATGGCAACAACTGAACATTTATTAAGTATCTAAAATTTCCTGGGTGCAGTGGCTCACGCCTGTAATCTCCCAGCACTTTGGGAGGCTGAGGCAGGTGGATTACTTGAGGTTAGGAGTTCAAGATCTGCCTGGCCAACATGGTGAAATCCTGTCTCTGCTAAAATACAAAAATTAGCCGGGCATAGTGGTGGATGCCTGTAATCCCAGCTACTTGGGAGGCTGAGGCAGGAGAATCACTTGAACCCAGGAGGTGGAGGTTGCAGTGAGCAAAGGTCATGCCACTGCACTCTTGCCTGGGCAGCAAAGTGAGACTCTTGTCTCAAAAAAATGAAATGAAATGACATGACATGACATGACATGATTGTATGAGACTGCTTTCATAAACTTTTCTCTCATAATCTAATCTTCACAACGTAGCCTCAAAAGGCAGGTAATACTATCTCTACTGAAATTTGGTAGGATTAAATAACTTGGCCAAGGTTTAAGAACTGTTAAAGGAGAAGTTAGATTTTTACTTCTTTCTGCTATGAAAGTCCCTACTGTTTCTTTCAGGCCTCTGATAGAGTAATTTAGGATTGAGAGAATTCAGGCTGGGTCATACCTGAGTGTGAAAACTATCTCATGTTAGTTCAAGGTCTATATGTTTTTTTAAGCACATTCTGTAATTATAATACAATAAACAGCTAGGATTTATTGCTACATATTAGGCCCTGTTACACGTATTATCTCATTTAATTCTGAAGACACCAAAATGAGGAATAGAAAGTATTTTATGTGCATTTTTCAAATAAGGAAATAGAGACTCAGAGATATTAGCTTGTTTGCTTAATGACCAAATATTAAAACCAGAATTCAAAATCTGTGCTTCATCAAAAGAGACTGTGCTAGACATTGAGAGCATGTAGAAATACACATAGGCCATATTGTGTGACATCAGGTTTACAGCCCAATAAATAGTGATGGTACCTTTTTTTTCCTTTCCTTTTTTTTTTTTCTTTTTGAGACAGAGTCTTGTTGTTACCCAGGCTGGAGTGCAGCTGCGTGATCTCAGCTCACTGCAACCTCCACTTCCTGGGTTCAAGTGATTCTTGTGCCTTAGCCTCCCAAGTAACTGGGATTACAGACATGTACCACCACGCCCGACTAATTTTTGTATTTTTAGTAGAGACAGGTTTCACCATTTTGGCCAGGCTGGTCCTAAACTCCTGGCCACAAGTGATTTGCCCACCTTGGTCTTGAATGCTGGGATTAGAGGCATGAGCCACTGTGCTAGGCATGATGGTACCTTTTGACTGGTTGTGCTTTCTTTCCAGAACTGGAAAGAGGAATTAAACTCACCATTCCTCTATCTATCCACTTTGTACTCCCATTGCCAGTCTTAGGAATGCCTTCAAGTTGTATATAAGCATTTTTATAGTTTACAGCTATTTTTTGTATAAATGGTATATTGAGCTATAATGAGAATTTCTAATATTGACAGTATGCATTCCTTTGGATGACTTGATTTTAAAGGCAGTTTTATCGTATTTTTAAAAGTTGATTTGTTGAATAACACTGACCTAATAACTAGTAACATTTTTAATAGTGTTGTGGTATAAAATGGATAGGTAATTTTTTTTAATTTTTAGGTCTTGTAACTATAGTCTGAGTATTTATATTTCTGATTATTAGAACCAGATCAATAGTAACCATCTTCGAAGAGCAGAACAAGAGGTGGTTAGCCTACAGGAGAAAGTGCAGTATCTTTCTGCACAGAACAAAGGACTCCTTACTCAGTTAAGTGAAGCAAAGCGCAAACAAGCAGAGATTGAATGCAAGGTAAATATGTCAATTAACTGATTTTGTTTTTTGTCAATATAATAATGCCTTTTTTGTGTTTGTCTTATTGTGATTAGATTATCTTAAAAACAAAACAAAAAAGCGTGTCCTATTTTCTACTTTTCCTGAACTTGTTTTGGTAGTTGCTGTCAGACCAGGTTAGCTCATCTTGCTTCTGGGGTGGATTTCAGTCAAGAAACATTTTCAGTCACTTCCTTGGTTAATTTAATTTCCTGGATTGGCATTTACTAGTATCTCTTTACAGTTTTTCTTTTGACTGGTAACCCTTTAAAACCGGAGCTTTTAATGGTTTGATCAAAAAAGGTGGGTCATTTAGAGAGCTTAGGGCTCCTCTGCTTTGATTGTTATCTTATTAGTGGGCAGTTAACATTGATACATGTTTTCTGGATAGATTAGAGAGCAAGAGAAATGTGTATGTACCAGTGTGTTGGCAAAAATGGGTATATTACCCATTATTATTTTAATCAGTTATATACTTTTACTTTTTTGTGAGGTGTTTGGATTCAAAAAGCATCAAAAGGATTTGAATGCAGGTACATTCTTTCCTGAAATGAATTTACAGTATAGCTGTGGTGAGAGAGTGGGGAAAGGCACGGAGATAGAAGGAGAGGAGGGAGGGTTTGCTCTGTGTGTGTGTGTGTGTGTGCGTGAAATAACTATAAAGAAATGACTGTAGACTCGGCATTAGAATGGATTACTAAAGGCAAGTTATGGGATTTTAAAAAAATAAACTAGGCATCCACCTTTCCATGGTGAGATAGCAGGAATGATACCCTTTAAAGATTCCAGCCTTATTATATAAGAAATAAGACTTTTGATGGCACATATAAAGCTGTAATTCCATCAACTTATTCTGGTGTCATTAAAAACCAAGAGTGAAGCTTGAATGGTTTATCAGTGTCACTGAAATCCAGAGATGAAATTACATCCTTATAAATATGCATGGCTGTTACAATGTATACTGACAGAAATCTGTAGGCAGTACTGAAATTCATACTAAAGCACAGTCATTTTTGAAGGATATGACTAAACTAATTTATAAATAAAATAATATTAAATGAGGTTGTATCAATCTGATTTGTCATACCAATATCTGATTGAGTTTTTATGATGCTAAATTATCTGTGTTGACATCTTGTCGATAACTAAATTTAATCTTTTATTTATTATTGATGTTAGTTTTCCGTAAACATATTTTGATAACGGTGTTACTAGATTTAATATTGCTTCTCAAATGCCCTAGTACCTGTTGAGAAAAGTAAAGTGTTCTTTGGAAATAAATCTTTAAGGAATTTACTGTTGAAAATAATAATTTTCTTTGAACTTGTCTAAGTAATGGGCTCAGATTTAGAATATTAGAGGATTTTATGAACTAATATGGGATTTTATTTAATTTTTAATTGTTCATTAATACCTCTGTGAAGTATGTTACAGATGCAGACTCTGATATCTCCCCGGTGTTTAAGCTGTGTGTTAATTTATTCAATCTTTCATAATGCCTTTGCAGATTTTGAGAATGACCAATGTATTGTTACCCTAGCACCTAGTACATTCTGATTAAATGTGTATATTTTGCCCTGTTATGTTGGAATGATTCAGGAACAAAGTTAATTTTTCAAGAATGCCAGTCCTTGAATTATATAAATCTGATTCATTTTTGTTTAGTATTATAAGATTATAGCTTATGATTAACTTATAATTATTAAAGCTTTTTTATTTTTTGTGTAAAATGTGTGGATATTATTTATAATATTAATGTTATTTTCCCTCTCAACTTAATTTGAATGTTCTCCCTTAAAGTTGAGATATTACAAGCCTATGAACTCCAGTTTCAAAATGCAGAACACTCTAAAACCCTAGAGTTTTTTCATAAATTTCACACAAATTCCTTTGTAGGCGAAACTTAAAATTTGAATTGAAATATGGCCATTTATAATTGTTATTTATTCCACTTGATGTGAACATTTGTGTCTCACTGCTTCATTGTATGCAGTGAGCATATTGTTTCACTATGGATGCTGCCTTAGACCCTGCTAGATAATACTAATGTATGGTTTATGCCTCCTATTACTTTTCTAAAATCTGAATTCCAAACACACCTGGTTTATTTTGTTTTGGTTTGGTTTACCACACTAGAATAAGGAAGAAGTGATGGCTGTGAGGCTCCGGGAAGCAGATAGCATAGCTGCTGTGGCTGAACTACGACAACACATTGCTGAGCTTGAAATCCAGGTATCATATGAAAATAATAAAGTACATGTAAAAATATGGTTTCTTCTATCCTCTTTGTCTGAACAGTAACTTAGTCTTTATCTTCATGACTGTGATTCTTTTTTCAATAATCATTCATTTCCAACTTTATTTTTTTTATGGTGGTAAAATAGACATAACACTTACTATTTTAAAGTATACAGTTCTGTGGCATTAAGTGTACTTGACATTGTTGTGCAGCCATCACCACCATCCATTTCCAGAACTTTTTCATCCTCCCTAACTGAACTTCTTTGCCCGTTAAATAATAACTTCCCATTCCCCCAGCAACTGGCAACCACCAGCAACTGGAAACCACCATTCTACTTTGTCTCTATGAATTTGACCACTCTGGTTACCTCATGTAAGTGGAATCATACAATACAGTCATATGCTGCATAAGGACATTTCAATGAGACAACATATATGATGATGGTCCCACAGGATGATAATGAAGCTGAAAAATTCCTGTTTTCTAGTGACTATAGTCATCATTATGTTATAGTGCAACACATTACTCGTGTGTTTGTGATGAGGCTGGTATAAACAAACCCACTGCACTGCCACTCTTATAAAAGTATAGTACATACAGTTGTGTATAGCACATAATACTTGATAATAAATGACTATGTTACTGGTTCGTATGTTTACTATACTATTTGTTGTTTTGCTATACTATTATTGCTATTTTACAGTCTACTTCTACTTATACAAAAAAACAGTTAACTCTAAGACAGTCTCAGATCCTTCAGGAGGTTTTCCAGAAGGCATTGTTTTCATAGGAGATGACAGCTTCATGCGTGTTACTGTCCCTGAAGACCTTCCAGTGGGACAAGATGTGGAGGTTGAAGATAGTGATATTGGTGGTGCTGACCCTGTGTAGGCCTAAGCTAATATGTGTGTTTGTATCTTAGTTTTTAACACAAATGTTTTAATTTTTTTTTTTTTTTTTTTAGTTTTTGTTTTTTTTGAGACAGGATCTCACTCTGTTGCCCAGGCCAGAGTTTAGTGGCACAGTCATAGCTCACTGCAGACTCCAACTCCTGGTTCAAGCAGTCCTCATCAGCTTCCCCAGTACCTGGGACTACAGGCACACATGACCACGCCCAGCTTATTTTTTTATTTATTTAGTAGCAATGAGGTCTCACTTTGTTGGCCAGGCTGGTTTCGAACTCCTGGGCTTAAGTGATCCGCCCACCTCTGCCTCCCACAGTGCTTGGATTACAAGCATGAGCCACCGCGCCCAGCCTTAATTTTTTTTTAACTTAAAAAAATTTTTTGTTCATCAGGCACAATGGCTTATGCCTGTAATCCCAGCACTTTGGGAGACTGAGGGGGGCAGATCACTTGAGCCCAAGAGTTTGAAACCAACCTGGCCAACAAAGTGAGACTCTGTCTCTACAAAAAATACAAAATAAAATTAGGTGGACCTGGTGGTGCACTATAGTCCCAGTCCTAGCTACTCAGGAGGCTGAGGTGGGTGGGTTGCCTGAGCCTGGAAGGTCAAGGCTGTAGTAAGCCATGATCACACCACTGTGCTCCAGCCTGGGCCACAGAGTAAGACCCTGTTTCAAAAAATATATTTACTAAAAATAAAAATTAAAAATAGAAAAAAGCTTACAGAATAAATATATAAAAAAGAAAATATTTTATACACCTGTACAATATGTTTGCTAAGCTAAATGTTATGAGAGTCAAAAAGTTTAAAAAACTGAATTTATAAAGTTATAGTAAGTGATAGTTAATTTATTATTGAAAGAAAAACCATTTTTTATAATTTAGTGTAGCCTAACTATACAATGTTTATAAAGTTTACAGTAGTGTCATGTCCTAGGCCTTCACATTCACTCACCACTTACTTACTAACTCAACTAAAGCAACTTCCAGTCCTGCAAACTTCATTCTTGGTAAGTGCTCTATACGGGTATACCATTTTTTATCTTTTATAACATACTTTTCCTGTGCCTTTTCTGTGTTTAGATACGCAAATACTGACCATTGTGTTATAGTTGCCTACAGTGCCCAGTGCAGTAACATGCTGTGCAGGTTTGTAGCCTAGGAGCAATAGGCTATTCCATGTAGCCTAGGTTTGCAGGAAGCTATACCATGTAGGTTTGTGTAAGTGCACTCCATGGTGTTTGCATGATGAAATTGCCTAACGATGCATTGCTCAGAACACATCCCCATTGTTAAGAGGTGTGTGACTGTATTTGTCCTTTTGTGACTGGCTTATTTCACTTAATGTTCTCAGTGTTCATCCATGTTATAGTGTATGTACAAATTTTCTTCATTTTTAAAGCTGAATAATATTCCATTGTATGTATATACACGTTTTTTGTCTATTCATTCGTTGATGACATTTAGGGTGCTTCCATGTTTCAGCTATTGTGAATAATGCTGCTATGAACACAGGTGTACAAATTTCTGTTCAGGTCCCTGCTTTTACTTCTTTTGAGTACATAGAAGTGGAATTGCTGGATCATATAGTAATTGTTTAATTTTTTAAGAAATTGCCACACCATTTTCCACAGAATCTATACGATTTTACATTTCTACCAGCAATGCATGAGGATTTCATTGTTTTCCACATTCTCACCAACACTTGTTAATTTTCTGTTGTTGTTTTTATAATTACCATCCTAATGGGTGTGAAGTGGTATCTCATTGTGGTTTTGATTTGCATTTCCCTGATGATTTGCTGTGTTGGGCATACTTTCATGGGCTTATTTCGCATTTATGTATCTTCTTTGGATAAATGGCTATTCAGGTCCTTTGCTTAATTGAACCAGGTTGTTTGTTGTTTTTGTTGTTGAGTTATAGGAGTTATTTATATATTCTCAATATCCCTTTCTTATCAGATATATGGTTTGCAAATATTTTCTCCCATTACGTTTGTTGCCTTTTCTCTGTTGATAGTGTTTTTATCACAAAAGTTTTTAATTGTGCTGAATCAACTTACCTGGGGTTTTTTTTTTTTTTTTTTTTTTTTGGTGTTGTTGACTGTGCTCCAGGTCCATTTTTTAGTGAAAATTCATCATATTTTGATATTATAAAACTATCTTCAAAAGAAAATTCAAAGCTTTAAAAATAAATATGTTTTTACAGGGCACAGTAGCTCACACCTGTAATCCCAGTGCTTTGAGAGGCCAAGGTCAGGGGATTGCTGGAGGTCAGGAGTTCAAGACCAGCTTGGGCAATAGAGTAAGACCCTGTCTCTACAAAACAATTTTAAAAAATTAGCTGGGGGCATGATAGTACACTCCTATAGCCCTTGCTACTTGGAAGGCTAAGGTGGAACGATCCCTTGAGGCCAGAAGTAGGAGTTCCACATTACAGTGAGCTGTGATCAAACCACTGCACTCCAGTCTTGAGTGACAGAGTGAGACCTTGTCTCTAAAATAAATTTTTTTAATAAAAGTAAATGTGTTTTGTCACTTCTTATGCCTTACTTCTTCTTGTATAATATGATAAAAGTGTTAAGTTTTCCCTGTGGATGAAATATTATGTTTAAAGTCTGTCTTTCAAAGTTTTTAATTATATTGTACTCCAAGTCACAATAGTCTTTGCTGCAACATCTAGAATTTTCTTCCCACCTGAAATTTCCTTTTGTCCTTAAATTTCAATTTAAAATGTAGTTGATTTCCAAACTTACATATTATATTATAGCCTCATCTTTTAATCTGGATCAAAGGTAACCACAACACATTATGATTTGTATGTTTATAAAAAGGTATCCTTTATGTTCTGCTGGTAGTAATCCCCATAAAGTGCACATATTCAGGAAAACCTCAAATATGAACTAACTGCATAATATATTTGTAATTAGTTTGTTTCAATCATGCTATCATATGTGATTTTAGCATTAGTCTGTACTTTTCTAACATCAAGAAAATCCTAAGAATTTACCACATTTCTATACATCTTAGTCACAGAATAGTAAGATTTAAATAACTCTTTTTGTTGATTCTGAAATAGTTATTAAAATGAAGAACCTGGCATGCAGGATTTTTGTTTAAAATGAAATATGATATGCGTTACATTATTTTTGAAAAATAGAAAATTCATGGAATTTTTTTTTTTAACGTCTTCCAATCCTTTACCCCTATCCCTGCATCTAGCCCCTGGTAACCACCATTCTACTCTGTACTTTTGAGTTCAGCTTTTTGTATCCCACATGTGAGATCACGCAGTGTTTGTCTTTCTGAGCCTAGCTTATTTCACTTAATGTTCTCCACGCTCATTCATGTTGTTGTGAATGACAGAATTTCCTTCCTTTTTAAGACTGAATAATATTCCATTGTGTGTATGTGCACCACTTTTTCTTTATTCATTCATCCACTGATTGACATTTAGGTTGGTTGCATGTGTTGGCTATTGTGAATAATGCAGTGAACATGGGAGTGCAAATATCGTTTCAACATACTGATTTCATTTCCTTTGGATATATACCCAGTAGTAGAATTGTTAGATCATATCATCTGTTTTTAATTTTTTGAGGATTTAGATTTCTACTCACAGTGTGTAAGAGTTCCCTTTCCACCACATCCTCTCTAGCACTTGCTATCTTTCATCTTTTTGATAATGGCCATTCTAACAGGTGTGAGGTGATAGAATTGTTACTGTTATTACAGTAGGGGTATATTATCATCAGCTGGCTCTTGATAAAGTGATCACTGGAATCCTAATTGCCAAATTTGTTGCTATTTTTTCAGTATTTGCCTGCTCGTGCTTATTGCATTTGTTGTTGACCATTTCATCCTCCTCGCATTCTCACCTCCCCTAACTTTGCTACCACCACTTACTTTTGACTCTCTTCTTTCTTGTTAAACTGTTGTTTACAGTCATCTTTATCAGTTGTGGATGTGTGTATTCCTCTGAAATCCAAGGTTTTGGCTTTTACAAACTATACCCGAATGAAGGGTCTCACTTACGTGGCTTCAGGAGCCGTCTTTACCAGGGTTCCCCAACCCCCAGGCCACAGA